ATGTGACATTAAACTATTCAGAAAGAGTGAAAACCAACCAAAAGGAAACAACAACAAAAAAAAATATTAGGGGTAAATTTTACTGTTTTGACACCGTTTCGACACTATTTTGCACTGTTTGACATTGTTTTACACTGTTTGACACTGTTTTAATGTAGATAACGCTTTATTTAAGGAAAGAAGAAGTTCTTTTTGGGACTGCTAAAAAGGAAAGCGGGAACTTATTAACAGGACGGAAGTAGTAACACCTTACTTCATCGTGTAGTGGTATAGCTCAACGGATGGATATAGATAACACAAGGATGAATTTCATATTTAATTCTCCACGACTGAGATAAGAAATTAATATACAAAATGCATGAAAGACTAAAATTTTAGCAATATCAAACGAGCTTTAGATATAAAGTAACAATTTTAAAGTGTTACATCCATCCCAATAACATTGGAACATGATAGGGTATATGATTATTAAGAAAAGTGAGTTTATGTGATTGATATTCAATTGATAAATAACAGTTAAGTGAAAATGATTTAAAGTCACACAAACTTTATTAATTTTGATATGAGACAATATTAGTGAAATTTCCCGAAAAGGAAAAATTGGACAGTTTTAAGGAGACGAAAGGAGTATTACTTAATTTACCCTTGATCATATACTTAATTCGGCCCTCAAATCAAGTAAATTCATCTCTCATCTTGTCCCCCATCTTTTTTTTTTTTTGAAAATGTCTCTATCTCCTTCTTAACTTTAAAATTAACTGAATTGGTCAATTCAGATCAAGATTTTACTTCATCAATAAGAATGGTTGTATTCGTTGGATTATGAAAAATGTATTTAAAACACATTTTATTAGTAAAACTAAAAATGAAAATAGTTAAAATGACTCTCTACATTAACTCAAACTAATCGATCAGAAAAATAATTTCAACCTTATTTATTTTGATTATTAGACTATTTAGCGTGAAAAATCAAATTCTAAAAAATTGACTAACAAGGTAATAGGCCAAACATTTGGGTCACCAAACGGGCATAAAATATTCGTCTCTTCCACTTATGTTTTTTAAAATGTCATAATTTGCTCTGAAAATGTATTACTCCGTATAACTCTTTAAGAATGTAATATTTTGATCTGAAAACTCCATGAATTTATCACTATAGGTGTAATATACTACGTATGTAGTACGGAGTATCATTCTTAAAACAACACGACTTTTCCCCAGGTGATTGTCTATTTTGGTAATTTGCACTCCAATTCTTTTTATTTTGGACATTTTTCAATTTACCCATGTCTTGATAAAGTATCACTCTCTCTGTCCCGTAAAGATTGTTTCATTTTTTCTCTATTCGTCCCACACTCCCACTAAGATTGTCTCATATGAAATTTAATAAAATTTATGTTGATCTAAATCATTTTTACTCTACTCTAACTTTATCAGTTTAATATCAATCATATAAATTCATTGTTCATAATAATTGTGTCACTTCTTATTTAATCGTTGTTAGCAGAGGCGGAACCAAGGGTGGGCGAGCCGGTGCCGAAGCCATCCCTTTGCCGGTATTCTTTACCAAAAATGGAAAGGGGAGATAAATTTGGGACGAACGAAAAAAGAAAGTACGAAGAAAATTCTGGGATGGAGGGAGTATATGAATTAGATTATATTTTACTATATATGAAAATTAGGTCACTACATTTTTTTTTTGAGAAATGATTATGATGAAAGTAATGAGTTCAATGATGATATATGTGATGTTATATGTGATGTTATATGTGTATTATTTTAATATTCGATTATTAGTTTATCATTTAATAAGAATGATAATTACTTCTAAAATGAAAATGAGAAGTTATATCGGGAATGTTATAGTGACAAGTAAAAAACTTAAGTGGTGATGAAAGGCATAGGGCACACAATTTATCTTATACTTCGTACGTAGTATATTTATATACTAGGGATTAAATATAAACTCAGGCTATGAAGCCATTTAAATTAGTGAATGTAGTTTCATATATGTAAATTGTAATTAACTTATTACTGAATTTATTGTTGTATAATTATTTATGTAAACACGTTTCATATATTTTTTAGCACCCCTTTAAAAACGTTCTGGTTCTGCCACTGGTTGTTAGTGACATACTGACACGGTAGTAACATTTTAGATTTATGATGTCATATACTCGGTATATATATGTACATAAATAAAATGTAGATTCTACGGTATCCATAAGGTACCATACCTTTGTCCACCTGGACTAGTTAGTTGAATTATTTAAATCTAAACTATAAAGGGAAAAGGATCAAATATGCCCTCGAACATACATAAAAAAGTCAAATAAACCCTTATACAGAAGACTCTGTCCGGCCATTGCCATTTGGGGTAGTTCTCGTTGGATTTTTTTTATGACAATTTTTTAGCATTTTATTCAATAAGTCTAGTTTACTCGTACCAAATTTCAGCTAACAATTCAATCAGGAAGGCATTCAAATAAATTCTTGAAAATAACTGTGCTTTTAACTACGCAGTTATCTTCAAGAATTCATTTGAATGCCTTCCTGATTGAAGTTTTAGCTGAAATTTGATATGAGTAAACTAGACTTAATGAATAAGATGCTAAATTTTTATTATCAAAAAGTTCCCCTGGGAATCGCCCCAAATAGCGATGGCTAGACAGAGCCTCCTATATAAGGACTTTTTTCCCAACTAAAAATGATACGGAGTATAATTTTATACAATGCCTTCCTCATGGCAATGATTTATGCTCTAGCTCTCATTCTAGAGGTATTTGCCTGATTTCTCTTCTTTTCGTCAACAAATACTTATAAATACTTATGTTAAACACAAGTAAATATAACAACTATCATGGTCCGTGTAGCTTCCTTTAAGGTTCTGTTCATTCTTTCTGCAACACCATTCTGTTGAGGTGTTCTGGCTGCAGATAGTTGATGAAATGTTCCATTTTGATCACAGAAGTCCTTGATCACTTTGTTGACAAACTCAGTTCCTTTGTCAGATCTAATTGTTCTGACTTTCAAGTTCTTTTCAGTTCGAAGTTGCTTCAACAGAGAGGGCAACTTCTGAAGTGTTTCATTCTTCTTTTTCAAGAACACTGTCCAAGTGTATCTTGAATAATCATCCACCATGACTAGAGTGTATCTTTTTCCACCAACACTGGGAGTCTAACCTGGTCCAAATAAATCCATATGGATAAGATTTAGAGGACAAGTAGAGAGATCTCCAGCAATGGGTTTGAAGGAGTTCTTCACTTGCTTTCCCTTTTGGCATGCATCGCACAGGTTCTCCTTCTTGTACACCATGGTTGGTAATCCATCTACAATGTGTTCTCTTGCAAGTTTGTTGATTGTTTGTAAACTAAGGTGACTAAGCTTCTTATGCCAATCCCAGCTTAGTTGTGTATCCCCTTTGGCTATTAAACACACTCCATCCTTTGTTGTATGCCAGTCAATAACATAGATGTTCCTTTTTCTTCTTTCTGTAAGAACTACTTCCTTTGATATCTCATTCTTTGACATATGAGACATCATCAATGATTATCTAGTTCTTGATCAGCTTCCCTTTTCCTTTTGTTTGACCTTCTTTGTCATTTCCTCCAAAATTAACTCTGGGTCCATTCTTTTTCTGGAACTCTGTTAGGCAACTTCTGTCACCTGTCATGTGTCTGGAGCATCCACTATCGATAAACCATTCTTGCTCTTGGTCTACTCCAGCACACAGTTCCTGCAAAATCAAAAGGAAGATTTAGGTACCCAAGCAGTGTTGGGTCCTAAAGGGTAATGGAGTCTTGGTAGTTGGTACCACTTTGGTCTTATCAAGTGAAACCTTGGTGGCTGGTACCCATCATCCACCCGGTAGTCATAGTAAACAAAGGTATGATTCACTTTGGGCAGATGCTTGTGAGGTTCATGGTTTCTGTTTGCATATTTCTGCATAGTCTTCTTTGTTGGAAAGAAGTCCCATATACTATCAAGAGCGGCTTCTGAGGTTGACCAGACAACCTCTTCTGCCTGAAGTTAACTTTCTCTTGATATTTGTCCTTTTGGTAGTAACCTCTGGCATAGTTATCCTGAGAGTGTCTGTTGAAGTTTTGCCTTTGATTATTGTTTTTCTGAAAACCTCTTCTGTTATTAGGGTTTCTGCCAGGTTCATTGGTTTTCAAAATTTGTTTTTGTTTGGCCTTTAGCTTTTGATTTTCTGGTCTAACTTCCTCATGAACAGCCTTAGTACCAGAAGTACTAGCAGGACAAATGGGGCTAGATATCCGTGGCTCTATGACCTTATTAGCCTTAGCAACTTGGGTGCTAGGTCTTACAGAAGGCTCACCGGATTCTGTGAAAACACATCCAAGACCAGAGGTGACCTTATGGTAATCATCAACACCCTTCAGGGAAGATCATATCTTCAGAAGGCTATTATACCTGATTTGAAGATACTCTATTTCTCTTATTCTATTAAGAAGAGAAATATTTTCAGCTTCTAGTTTATCTCTTTCTTCAATTAAGAGATTACGTTTTACCTCGGTCTCTTTTCTTAAGTCAGAGATTTCAACTTTTAGCTTACTATTTTCTTTTTTGATTAAAGAATAAGTGTCTTGGATAGTTATGAACTCTTCCCAAAATGATGACATTGGATTATCATTTAAGGCTGTGCCTACCGAAGAAGAAATAGAATCAGCGATATAATATACCTCATCATCAGACTGTGCCATGAGGCATAAGTCTTCTGTGTCAGTATCAAGGCAGCAGAAGGCCTCATCTCATTCTGAGTAAGAACTGGACTCTGTCTCAGAAAGGGGATCTTTGTCAGAATGTTCAGTGATGAATGTCTTCCTTCTTCTAACATGATCAGTGGGCATCGAAGATTTTAGGGAAAAAATCAAGAAAACACGTTATACGTTTTGATCTTTTCCCATAGATGACGCCAATGTTGAGGTTTTGTCCCGTAGATCTGAAAGTCCAATATAAATTTTGGATATCAAGGATGATTAATTCGGTAAATAAGTAAATAAATGTATAAAAGTGTTTGAACTAACTATTTTTACATGAGAACCCGGAAAAAGAGAAAACCATGGGACTTTATAGGCGAACGTCCAGGCCCGCTCTTTCTCATTAATATGCTCCCATCACTCATTTACATAGTACAAAGGTAGAACTCCATTAATGGAGGTATGAGTAAGCAAATCTAAAGAGGGAGGAAGAAGTAATAATGGTAGGAGAAGAGTCAAAATCCCCTCTTCTATGGACGCTAAGGCTTCCTATTTACGGGGAAAGCCTCCTATCCTAATGGGCCTTAATGGGCCGAAGCAGGTTCAAGTGGGCCGGACGAGACTAAATGGGCCTCGCCGATTGGGTTCCGTATTGAAGTGATGATTTAGACCTCTGAACACTAGTGAGCCCGAGTAATATACCCAACAGAGTATAATGATGTTGATTAGTCAAGTGTATGGTAGGTACATAAATTGTGGTGTGGGTGTCGTGGACATGGCGGTGGAAGGGCAACACTGACCGAAAGTACACCTCATAATTTGTAAGCTGCGTGTGCTTCTTTTTAATGCCTCCAATGGCTGCTACGTCTTATTTCTCTTGAGCTGCTTTTCTGCTATTTTAATCCATCATTTCTACCCCCTTCCAGTACTAAATGGCGGGCATCTGCTGTGGATTTCTGAATCAGAGTAGCGTGTCGTCGTCATCTTCTTCGTGCGAGACATCTTCCCGGTCGGCCAGGAGGAGGAGACCGGAGATCGGTAAGATTGAGTTAGTTTCCGGAGTAGCTCCGCCGGAAACAGAGAATCGACTGAAACGTCCTCGTTTGGAGATGTGTTCCTCTTCAGGATCGAGTTCGAGGCCGTGCTGTAACGTCGTTAACAATTCTGAAGGCTCCGACGCTGAGGAGACGGCTGTGAATAGAAAACCTGGATTGATTTTGAGCTCGTTGACTTCAGGTTTGTTGCCTAAATTCGGAGTGGCCTCCTTCTGCGGACGCCGGCGGGATATGGAAGATGCGGTTGCGATTCATCCGTGGTTATGCCCTAAGGATCGCGAAAACAACACCGAATTGCACTACTTCGCAGTCTACGACGGCCATGGATGCTCTCACGTAAGCGGAATCTATTCATCTATTCTCAAAATTGCGAAGGACCTTCTTCTGTTTGAATTGCTTTTTCTAAATTTCTAATTGATCGACTCACAGGTTGCGATGAAGTGTAAGGAACGGTTACACGCGCTCGTTAAGGAAGAGGTGGAGAAGAAAGAGGATTGGAAGCGCGCGATGGAGCAGAGCTTCAGTCGCATGGACGAGGAGGTGATTGCGTGGAACGAGAGCGTCGTTCGTGGCAGTTGCCGGTGTGAGCTGCAAAGCCCGGACTGCGACGCCGTCGGGTCAACCGCCGTCGTTGCAATTGTAACCCCGGACAAAATCATAGTGGCCAATTGCGGCGATTCCAGGGCGGTCCTCTGCCGGAACGGCAAAGCTGTTCCTCTCTCCAATGATCAGAAGGTGAGGAAATGACTCTTTCTCAGATTTAATCGATTTTAACTGGATTCGAAAATCGAAACTTCTGTTATTAGTATTCCGGCTTGTTCGTTCCCAATTTTGGTTTTCAATTGTGCAGCCGGATCGCCCGGATGAGTTGAATCGGATCCAGGAAGCGGGCGGGCGGGTCATATACTGGGAGGGTGCTCGGGTCCTCGGAGTCCTGTCGATGTCGAGAGCCATCGGCGACAACTATTTGAAGCCCTATGTGATATGTGAGCCGGAGGTGACCGTCACCGACCGGTTGCCGGAGGACGACTGCTTGATTCTGGCCAGTGATGGGTTATGGGACGTGGTGTCGAACGACACCGCATGCGGAGTTGCGCGGATGTGCCTGAACGGGAAGAAGCCGGCGTCTCGCCATGGCCTGCCGGAGAAGGAAATAGCACTGCAGAATTCTGACAAAGTTTGCTCCGATGCGTCGGTGTTGTTGACGAAGTTGGCCCTGGCGAGGCGGAGCTCGGACAACGTGAGTGTAGTCGTGGTCGACTTGAAGAAGGCCACGTAGCTCCGTGGAGATATTATCATGACTAGTGAAACGTGTTAGTTTTTTGGTAGCAGTGAAACGTGATACGTACTTAGAGATATTTTGGTATGAGTGTTTTTTTCCCTAGCATTTCTATGTTATGTGAAAATTTCAAGGGGTAACAAACCTCTTGATTTTTTTCATGGTTTACACGCAGAAATTCACTTTTTACCGAATTCAACTTTTTTGCCTTCTTTTGCAGTGGTTATAAATATGAAATCCATCCCGTCAGATCTACTCCCAAATTCACTTTTTATGGATTACCCTAACTTTCTTGTTTGAATGCGTGACTTTTTTTGGCTCATGACGATTCCGTATTTACTCTTTGATCCATAGAAAAGGTAGAATCTCCTACAGAAAAGGTAGAATCTCTTACCGCAGGAGCTCCCGACACGATGGTGGAGAGGTTAGTCACGGTGACTCAATCAGCAAAGTGATAGTAGACTCATATATCCGTGCGCATTAGAGACTCAGACTTATTTCAGATTCTGTGATCTTTATCCGATCGCTACGGGGATTCAAACCTTGCTCTATTGATCCAAATCTCCCACTACTCGACCAACTGAGCTACCCGTGCGGTTACGATTTTGTATTTACTCAAAATTAGTGGAACGTTATCAGTTATACTCAGTAAGAAATTTAGTTAATGAAAACGGTTTGTTTCTTGTATGGAGTATAAAAAATTAAGAATAACTAAATCAATATTTAACGGTTTGATCTTTGCTTTTATTGATTTCGAGAATAATTTCTTCATCTAAGAATTAGCAGTTTTTTTAACCAATCAACTGCAAAAGGTCTTTCCCTGTTTTTTTTTAATTCAAATATTTTGAAACTTTAATAAGAGCAAAGTACATGGAAAATGGGGGGTGAGAAAGAAAGAGAGAAAAAACGAGAATAAATCAGAGTAGCACCCAAACTAAAGTTACCTGAGCCCTTAGTAGATTTTTCAAAGACCCACTCGTGTTTGAAATCTAGTTCTCATAAGATGGGATCTCTGATTCTTCTTTTTTAAACATTCTCCTTTGCGCGTTCAAGTTCTAAGTGGGTAAACAATTCTATTGTGTGACCAACAAAGTTTTTTGACAAATAACCTTATTGGTATCAAAATCCCGAAGGTCCCCCTCTAATGAAATAGGAAACATCTTCTCATTTCCGGAGATATGACCAAGGAATTCATCACCTGAAAGTGTAAAGTACGATCCTCCAAATTCTTCCTCAAAATCTCCAAAAGCTCCCTCAAAATCAAAAGCCGCATCAAGATTATCTATAGAACCCTGATTTGCATAACCCAACCCAGAATCTGTGCAATCACCTGTAATACCTAGAACACTTGACTCTAAAACCCCTACAGTCCTATCATGTTTTGCTCAGCTTTACCTGTAAAACTCATATTTTCCTTCTTCAGTCGACGTCATAGTCAAAGTCTTATGGTTTCCCAAAGCAGAGGTGAGAATTCTCTCAAATTCATACACCAAAAAATGAGAAAGTGAGTTCACCCCATATTTTAAGTTTTAACTTATACCACATATAACGAAATGAAAGTGATCCATGATTCAACGGTTTGATTTTTGCTTTTATTCATTTCTAGAATAATTTCTTCTTCTAAGAATTAACAGTTTAACACATAGTTCAACTTATACCACATATAACGAAATGAAAATGATCCATGTAATTCCCTCTCTTTAGAGAGTTGTGGTCGTGTCCTTCTATGTAGGTTTTTGTTTTCCTGCAGATGGCACCAATCATGTGGGTGCCTTTTCTCTTGTGCTTCCACGACTATCAGCGCATGAAAGAGTGAATATACAAGCAGGAAGGGGTTGGTCTTCATGGATTTTCAAGAGACAGCGTGCGTTGAAGTTTTTTGTGTTAGTCATGGAGAAGTTGGTGGATAGAGGCCACAATATGAAGATGGGTGGATAGTAGGCCGCACGGGCGACGAGCAGACGAGGAGCAGTAAATGGCAGAAAAAGGGAGAACACAAATTGATGGTCCGCCCCCCTCCTGAACCGCTCCCTTGGAGTGATCGAGGTGTCAGGGCTTGGAATATGATGTTTCAAAAAAACTGAAATCAATGAGTTTAGTTTTATTAGTTATTTTATTTCTTATGATCTTATTTCCGCGCTAAAAGAAATATAGTGCTCACTAGGTTACTTGATCTCATGAGGTTACTTGAATTGTTTTGATACGAGCTGGGGCCTGTCTCGTTCCGTTTGGACTTTTCCATTAAAAATCTCTCTCCCTGCCTGCCCTTTAGGGTGGGGGGGGGGGGGATTAAATGGTTAGATACTATTTTGTTAGTTCTCGTACTAGTTTAGATAGTTTTGACACATGTATTATGTTATTTTTGGGTGTTCTTAATATACTTACATTTCATCCAAAAAAAATGAAAGCTAGACATCTACCTTAAGTTTGCACACCATCTAAAAGAGATTCCAAGCCCTCCGAGTAGTATGAAGTCTAAATAGCCAGAATATGTTTCTACTAATTACTCACAAATAGTAAAAAATCATCACATGCAAAGCAAATTATGAACTACTACTACCATCACAAAAGAAAAGGACGATTACATCCTAGTGTTCGAGATGTCTACCGAATCACTCACAATTCTCAAATAATCCAAACCAAAGGCAGTAGCATCTCTAACCTACTTAAATCCCGAGTTGCTCTACGAGACACATAATTATGGAATCGTTGTGCATAGTTCAATAAAAATTAAATTAATCATAGTATCAAATACTTTCTCAAAATATATAAGTCATATTCCGATCTCAAAATATTATGCATAGCATATCAATTTCAAAGTCATAGCTCATGAATTAGGGTTTATTCCAAAACTTATTCCAAAATAGTATTTAATCTAATACTCAAAATAATATAATAAAAATAGTTTTAACTCTAGAATATGTGTGTGTGTGTGTATATATGTAGGGGATGGTTCAAATAAGAAGTGGTCTTCCCGTGCAAAGTGCAAAGTTTGCACTTTTTCATGTTTCGCTTGCATGTTTTCTCATTTTCGTTGCACTTTTTTGAGGTAGCGAAAAAATCGGGTTATTTACAAAACTGCCACCGTCATTGTGGCAAAATTGGACCAAAATCACCTGGGTGCAAAAGTGCAACGGAAACAAGCAAAAGTGCAAGCGAAACATGCAAAAGTGAAATTTTTGTACTTTGCACGGGAAGACCACTTGTATGTATGTATGTATGTATGTATGTATGTATGTATGTATGTATGTATGTATGTATGTATGTATGTATGTATGTATGTATGTATGTATGTATGTATGTATGTATGTATGTATGTATGTATGTATGTATGTATGTATGTATGTATGTATGTATGTATGTATGTATGTATGTATGCATGCATGCATGCATGCATGCATGCATGTATGTATATGTATATATGTGTGTGTGTATATGTAAATATTCATACCATATAGTACAGTTAAAAATATATAATTTGTGTGAAAATAATCTCCTCAACTTTCCAATCAAAGAAATCAATTTCGCACAATTCACAATCTCGGCTATAGTAAACTAAATTAATTTACTCAAAAATTCTCACAATCCAAACTTCATAGAAAACTATATCATGCTCACATAAGTCCAACATGGCCAAATTACACATAAAATTTCATTAAGAATCTCAAATCACGGCTCAAACCCTAATGATAGTATAATAGGGGTAAAATAGTAATTTTTGTTCACAAACATGACCCTACTAATCAGTGGCGGACCCAGAACTTTTCTAAAGCGGGGGCACTCCCGCATAGATGGAAATGGGACGGGTCGGGTCAAATTGGGTGTATCATTAGTCTTTTTTGTCAAGTGCGTTCTGATTATTATTTTTATTTGGAAATAGATTATTTAATGCCAGCTTCAAGCAATGAACATATATGGATTATAAGTCTAATTTTGAACTTATTAAGACAATTCTAAACAATATATATGGCTTTTTGAAAGAAAGATATAATTCGGATCAGAAATGATTCATCTTTATGTCGTTTCTAATTTTACATTTTAATTCTCGTTATTTTTCATACTATAAAATGATCGAGATTTCATATATGAATTAGAATCATGTCGAATGTTACACATTGTGCCACAAAATTTGTTGGTACTTTTCTGGAATATAATACTATCGTGTTAAAAATGAAGTATAAATCATGTTTATGATTTCATGCTTTAATACTTTATTCAATAATATGATTCTATATATCTAACATTTATCATATTATAGATAAAAAATTAAGAGTCTGTCGGTTTGAAATTAATTTACCGTGAATTGACACATTTTTCTCATATATGGACTTTTATTCAAGATAAAAGTCTTCAATCTATTATGTTCATCCTACATATTAGAACACTTGTCCTATCTTTGACCTAAAACTTTGGACAAACATTATTTACACTAAGTAAGAAAATCATCAATGTCACTTTTCAAAGAAAGTGTAGTAACTACAATTGTAAGGATTTGCTCCATCACAACTTTGTGGTTGTTTATAATTTATACTACTATATCTTACTACAGTTGTAATGTTTTCGATGAAGTCCTATATAACTTAGAGTTTTATGAAATAATGACAATATGATTGAAATAAAGATAGTGGACAACAATAAGACTTGGTAACTAGAATGGTAATTTTAGTAATCATATATGATTGTGTTCAATCTATCAATATAGTGACTATGCATAGTAATAGTAATATTTATGTCCATTAGTTCTACTTCGGTAATATTTATGAAATAATCTCTTGTTTTTTGACCGGGTAACGGGGGCACAATTTTTATCTTTAAGTACTAATCTTAAACTTCAGAGTCGGAAGCGGGAACACTTGCCCCCTGAGGACCCCCCTAGGTCCACCACTACTAGTAATTCATAGGGTTCTAGAATTTTAATTTAGGAGAGAAATCGAAGAAAACGGAAGAAGCCTCAATAGAAAGTGTTCACCAATAATGGCATTATTAACTTCTACTCAAAGAAAGATATAGTTGAAAATACATTATTGTACTCCTATTTGGGATATTTTTTTTATCATGAAAGAATATTTTTTGTGCCATTGGGGCTAGGGTCTAACCAAACTGTGGGTGCATCTATGTGTACGTTTAATTTCGTAGGACGCCATATTGTAAATATGCAAGAGTCAGGCTAACATAAAGACTCACGTTCATGTTAAACACAGTGACTAGTGTATCTATTTTTTTTATCAGTAACGTGGGGGCGAAGTTACATACAACTATAGCTTTAGAGATTTTTTTTTTTAAATCAAAATATCAATAAAATCATTGATTGGATAAAGTTTTCCTTTTTTAGAAAAAAACATTAAAAATGAACCTAAAGTATTTAACACAGCTTACTGCAAAGTAATCCTCTACATTCTTTTACATTTTTAAAACTACATAGATTGCATCATTCAGAACACACTCTAATATGCAATATTTCTAACGAATTTGAAATTGTATTTCAATATTTGAAGGTTGGAATGCAATGATATACTCCTCGGGTCGTGACGAAGTTTTTTTTTTCAAAACAAGTGTCAAAACAATGACAGTTAGCGTATGTTTAGATGATTTTGCATCTCATAATTTAAATTTCAATACATACTAGTGGATATTCAACATCATGTTTTGATCTAGCATTATCTTCTCCGCATCCAAACTCGATGGTGTTCTTGATTTTTTCTGAAAGCACTGCACACACACATATATTTCACTACAATATTTGGAGAAAAAAAGAAAAGAAAAGTAGCACAATATTTTTCATCCACTCTTCCTTCATTTCTCTTTGATATAGTAATGATATAGTTATGATATATCACACCGTATTACATGTGTCTATATTTCTCTAACAGTATGTTAGTGGAGTCATTTTTCGTGCTATACTATATTACTTGAATAGTAATTTCAATTTCTTTACAAATGCATTTGGAACCCTACTTTTATCATTTAAAATGCCAATAAATTGATGGTTCCATCTGACTCTAAGTTCTAACCATAATGTAAAAATTTGAGAAGATAGTGGAAAATTGCCTTCTGCCAAAACTGCTCCTCAAAGAATTTGTCTTGAACTCTTGATTAGTTTGTTTGCAGTACCCTTCCATTAGTCTGTTCTTCAAGAACTGTATAAAATTGTTAATTCATCAGATAAATGTTAGAGTAAAAATGTAATGCATTTGTTAGATATAAGCAATAAGTGAAGTTTTTATTTACCCTCATGAGCATTGGTAGAAATGGGAATGAGTGGGGATAAGTTTCCATTGTTGTTGGAAATGGATGTTTGGGGAGATAATGAACCTGTGTTGTTAGTGTTGGAAGTAAAAACTCTGAAAAGAGATGGATTTGTGGGGGGTAGGAAAGAAGTGACAACATCCTTTACTTTATCCACAACCCCCCTTTCACCAGGTTCTCTTCTTCTTGGACTCATAGCATCAGATATTACCTTTGAAAGTTCTTTTTCATCTTCCCCGGGCTCAAGCTTGTTCATGAAATACTCCTTCATTGACACCCCTTTATCCCATGTTGTTGGGCTGTTGACTCCTTTCTGTTTCTCATGATCAGTAACACTATCCTTTCTTTCTTGTTCAATTGGCTTCTCCACTGTGTTTGTGGTAGCAATACTCAACTCTGAAAACTTAGAGTCAATATTCTGAGTTTCTTTCATATTGGAACCATCCTCTAACAATTCTTTTCCGCTTTCTCTTTCGTTCTCGTTCTCTTGTTTTGTGCTTTGTTGGGAGGGTAAAATGTTCTTCTCAGAAAACAAAGGATCGGCTCGGGGGTGTTGACGTGATGTCTCTTTATAATCTTCGGGTGCAAGTTCTGACTCATACACTGATCACCATTTAAATAAGAGTTCTTGGTAAACATGTTGCTAGCCTGGCTTCTTTAATAAGCATTTTTCATGCAAGTTTGGCTCATTAAGGTTTGCTTGGATGGAGTTCTTGAGAGGAAGGGTTCTTTGAATGCAGTAGTTTATATCTTAGACACATAAATAGAATGTTTTACACGACTACCAATAATTGATTAAAATGTTATACACTTTAAATATGATCTAATTACATTTTTTTAAAATTTATAAATCTCAAATATATGTCAAAACATGGGCTAAGAGGTCATCTGAAGCCTTCCCACCTAAACTATTAACCCAATCAGATCCTTAATCAAGGCATAGAAAGAGATTTCAATGGCTATGTCAACAGATTGGTGTACATTTTAGATTATATATATATATATATATATATATATATATATATATATATATATATATAAGAAACTTTTATTTTTAAGATTTCGGTGTACTAACATTTTATGTATTGTTGCATTTCATTTATTTGTCCAATTCTTTTCAGAACACTTTAAATCTTTATTCCCTCTGCTTTTGTTCTCTATCTATAAATAGGGACTTTAGTTTTCCATGCATTGTAAGCATAATTCACACAAATATGGCCTAGTGTTTATTTCATTTTTATTAGTGTATATCTTTTTTTTTAACCCGGTAGGAAAACCACCCAATATATCTTGATTATATATAATGTGACATGTTGTACTAATACTCATAATTTATAGAAGTTGTACATTGGTTGAATTTACTAAATTAAAATTATGCCTAGCTTAAATTTGATTTTTTTTAGAAATGTGAGAATATTTATGAAGAATTGAGATAAAGATTAAACCCTTCAAGATGTTCCCCTAAAAAAGCCTTCATCCTAATGAACAAACCTTAAGAAATTCTGAATGTTGAAACTTACTTGGGGCTCCAAGATATTCAGGATCTTCATCTTCTTCCTCAACCTCTTCTTCATCCTCTAAGTTGACACCCCATGATGGTGTGTTGTTCTCTCCTTGAATTTGATTGTCTTGCTTTCTCTTGCCGCTAAGACTATGTCGCAGCTTCTTAGCCTTTTCTTTTACTTTGGTAAGAACAGATTTCTTGTTTTGTTGATTAGGAAATGCCTCCTCAGGGTCATAGGATTTTTGGGTTGGTGATGTAGTTGGACTCCAACTCTTGTCATCTCCTTAGGTTATGCATACATAGTAGCAAGTCATAAGGATAACCACACACATAATGATAATGAAATTTTGACTAAAATATGTGTTTCGTTATTTTAAGCCAAAACGTTGTTTTTTGTTTTCAAACCCGAATTTATGCTCCATTTTTGTTGAATTTTCACACCACATACTTGTGAAGGCATCAAATGTTATACTAAGATCTGAATTACTGATCTTTTAAGATGGAACCATGAGTCTTAATAATTTTCTTTTCAACAAAGAAATATGTAACTTACATTATTTCTCCCCTTCTAGATAAATTTAAATCACGTGGTTTGCTTTTTGTTAAATATTTTACAAGCTAAACTTCCATGTTAAATCATAGAGGGAAACTCATAAAGATTATGTTTGTTTAAAAAAACTACGTCGTAAATCCATAACTTCATATCTGGCTATTAAGACAATTATGATTAAACAAAATTTGACATTCACACTTTGAATTTAAATCCCTCCGGTTGTTCTAAAATAACACATTCAACATCTTCTAAGAAAATATGATGGTAAACTCATACATGAGCTATTTGATTCGGAAAATTTCATAACCCAAGTCGACAAAGATGGATTAAAATTGAATTTAAATAACACGAACATATTAAATGTACAATAATTTAATACAATTATTGATTGCAAATAGGAACAACATATTTATCTATTTAGCCTAAATTTAGCTCAAGGCTACGAAATAACCTTGAATAAACTGTTCAAATGCTGTTATTGGGGACTTTGTATTCTTGAAGCTATCAGGGTTTCTCTCTAGTTGAGCCATTGTTTTACGAAAATTAGATTTGAAAATGATGTCACAAACTCTTGTTTTCTTAATTGCCTGATAGGTAAATAGCTTAGGAGAAAAGTATTCATGTGTTACTGCTTGTTTCTCGGTTATATTTGAGGGAGGAGAAGATTAGCATCATTTGATCCAAGGATTGGCCAATATTGGCATCCTTTTAACATATGGCCACAAATTAAGATACATATCAAAATTAACTAACTTCTTGAGAGAATAATGACCATTAAAATGAGCAGATGATGCAATTTTCTTCGAAAGTATTTGCACAATCAACCGTCTAATTACCCTAGTATTCAAAATAAGTCAATAAAAATATGTGATAAAAAAAGTGACTGCCTTACAATTAAATAATTTAGATTAATAATCTTAAATTAGAAAGATTAAGGTATTTCAAGTTTACCTTCACGTAAATAAATAAATGTAAGATAATCTAGAGATAAAAAATTGAGATAACTTCCTAGGGCTTTACCCCCTCTCCTCCTATCATTCTTGCCAAACCAATTATTTTGCAATAATATGAATTTATGAAGTTATTGACTATTTATGTAGTGCATTTTTTTGCCAACATCAAACTGACTAACAAGAAGGTAGTTGATTAACAATAACTTACTATCACCCGGTTGCTTGAGATGAGGTTAAACACTGATTGTGTGACTATTCAGATTAATCCTGATAGGCCAGAGGACCATCATTTGAGAACACCACCCAAAATCTCTCATTTGGTGATGTGAACTCAAGACTTGCACATGAGTAAGATTTAGGTGTGGAAAGTGGTCTACCTGAACCACTCACTACAACAAAATTGACCCTTTGTAACGCCTAAAAAATGTTACATAATATTGATAAAGTGTTACAAAATGTTAATGCAACACTTTTATAGGCGTTGCTTCAGGTCTCGTTGCATAATGTCATTTGTAACACTTTTTAACATATTATGCAATACCAAATAGATATGTTGCATATATAACTCAAATGCAACACTTTTTTTCAATACTTTAACATGTACCTTATGTAACACATTTTGAAACAAAATGCAACACTTAAATATTGATATTAGGCATCATTTTATTTTGTTTATGTAACATATAAATTATATTATTTTGCAACATGAAGTTATATTATGTAACGTAGACCACAATTGTCCATGTAACACTTTTTTGAAATAGGCAATACTTTTTATAGAGTTATGCAAAGCAAGATTCTTCTTAATATTGAGACATATACGTTGGGTCATTTAGACAAACTATAATAAAATCGATTAAAGCAAGAAGCAATTAACAAATAAATTCAAAATATTAAAAATATAAATTCAATCGAATGTACCATTAGACAAATATGTAACATGTATAGAGCATAATCTTGTAATAGCATCTTAAATTTACATTGCTTTAGTAAAAAATAACTCTAAGATCTTAAATTTACATTGCTTTAGTAAACAAAAAAACTCTAACATAAGAAACTAGCTAATATCAATTAAATGTCTTGACATCCAACTCCTTTGCAAGTAACACCATGCATAAAATTCTTCTCTACAGATTCAAATCTTCAATATTGACTCTCACGTCCTGTAATCATGTATAGTAGAGAGAAGACAGGGAATATAAATATCAAATGCCCAATAAAATAAGAAAAGATACTACGTAATTCATTTGTTCTAAACAATAAAAAACAGAAATAACAATATATTAACATCCGGATCATAAAAAAACTTTAGGATAACTACAAACTTAAATGATAACTATAGTAAGTAAACCAACACCGCATCCAACTAGTTCTATCAATAGATTAAATAAAACCAACCAGAAATATGCTCAAAGTATAGATCTTACTAATTAATATAAAATCAACAATCCAATCGTCGAAACAAAGCTCTCTATGTGTAGCACCTACAAAAAAAAGAAGTGCAAATTAGAATAACACATTTATTGCAAATGTCTCATCTAGAGGTGTTAGCTCAATTAAAAGAAAAGTAGAGGAGTATAAGCACAGACAAACTTATTCACTCAAAATGACCATCCATATGTTAAAGTTGTAACCGTATTCCAATAATATTTCCAGAAAGTTCAAAACTACCTAAAACATGGCCAACCTGTTCAAGAGTCTCGTTAAGAACAAGCTATCTTACAAGATGTTAAAACTATTTAGGCTGATAAAAAAGAACTGCATAAACCAAAACATATATTTACCACTGAACAACTAAAGTAAAAGAAAACTTCATCTGAAACATAAAGCCTTCATCTGGTTGTGCAAAACAAAGATGAGGGGAAAAACAGGAGCATCACAATAGCTTACTTGTTACAACGGTGAAGTGTCTTTCTTGCGGAGAAGAGATACCAAATATGGAAGGCTAAATGAGAGGATGAAACCTATAAAGTATGGAGCAGAGCATATATGAAAGGGAGAGTCATCAGAAACTCATAAAAACTTCTAAATAGACAAATATGAAAACAAGATTCTCATATTAACAAATTACTAGATTCAATCAATAGCAAGGCATCATTAAAAGTTTCATGGCAGCATTTTAACAACACTTTGTATCCATGAACAAACTACAACTCCGGTGATGAAATTGGTCACCTATGAATTTTTTATGCATCATATCAGAATAGAGCAAAAAATCAATATCAGACAAACAAGCAAAATAATCCAATGGAATTATAATGTAAAATAAGCACAATGACACATTAATACTAATAAACAAAAAATAAAAATCATGTAAAAAGAAATTTAAAGTATACTTAAAACTGAAACTAAAAAAGAATAAACACCAGTAATGGGATATCTCGGGCGAATTTGGGCCGGAGGTAGCAATAGAACAATATTGAGTCTAAGCAAACACCAAAGTGTGACACTCAAAGCAAAACTGTGAGGGGAAGTGATAATGTTCTCATCAAATGGACCTATGGATAAAAATGTTATATGCAAAATAAATCACCTTCAATGAGGAAAATAAACCCAAACCCTTCAACTATGCAACATAAGCACCGTAATCAAATATGAGATTGAAAACAAATTCTAAAAATATAGCCTATTCGACATACTAAAAACAATGAGAAAGATTCAGATTTTCAATTTTTTAAAAGAACTTCTATATTTCTATTATGGAGTATGAAATTTTCACTAAAATCATTTCATATTCTGTACCTATTTACTTTGCTCGGGAGACGTAGTAACCCACCAATCTAGATATTGATAAAATTCATTTTTACATTTCAATAAACACATTATATGCATGTAAAAGTAAAAGTTTTAGGTGTTTAATTAAAAACAATAAGGAAACTAGCATGGTCATCCAGTAGCCAAAATCTAACTTCTTTATAAAATGAACAAATCAACCACAAATGCGGCTTTGTACTTTTGGTAGAAAGTCACACAACATCCAAAATTAGGAAACTATAATGGTCATCAATTAGCCCAAAAACTCAATTTGTATATTCATTACTCCCTCCGTCCCTGAATTATCTTCAAACTTTCCTTTTTCGTCCGTCCCAAAATTATCTCCCCTTTCCCCTTTTAGCAAAGAATTTGTGGTTCACAACCATTCTTACACATTCTTACACATTTCTCTCTCCTCTGCACAACTCTCCACCACACAAATCTCACTATCTTAAAAAATGTGCCCAGCCGAAATGGGAGAAAGATTATGGACAGAGGGAGTACTAATTTACTAGTTTGCATAGTGATTTTCTGTATATTATACAAGATCACACCAAAGACTCCTTTTATTACTGTTTATACAAGAGGGATAACAAAGCATATGAAATATATCATTTCCAGAGTTAGAATTAAAAGATCAAAACTTGATGAAGTTTTAGAGAACAAAATCACACACAAGTTTTCAAATCCATAGTTCTAGTTCTAGTTTGCACAAATAATGTTGTTAAAAGGGCATAAGTTATTACAAAATAATCGTGGATTACATGATAAAATTCTGGAATAATATGATAAAATACCTTGAGTCATCACACAAGCATTTATGTATGAAACTATACATTGTTATACTATAAATAGTGAGTTCTTAATACACTATCTTGCAAGTAGTTTATATCAATTTTAAAAATAAGTAAATATTTGATTGTAGCATTTTAACAAACACATTATGAGCATGAAAGTGAAATGCAATACTCAATGTACTTCACAAACATGAACGTCACACATTAAGAATCATGAAAAGATTAATAAAATAAATAGCACTCGAACATAAATTAAACATACCATCATGGCAACAAACTGAAAAATGAACAGAAATGGAAGACGTATTACAGGCGATGGGAAGGGTGGTGATGGCTTAGTAGAGGTCGTGGTGGCTCAGTTGGCGCTAATTACAGGGGATGGTGGCTTCATCGGCACTCATTAGTGGTGGCGGTGGCTAAGGTGACACTCCAACACTCCTAGCACCAGCGACTAAGGTGGCGCTCCAACACTCCTAGCACCAGCGGCTGATTAAACGATCTCCTCTTCCTCAGACTTTCATAGCCATCACGGTCAATTGATAGAAAAGAAATCCAAAAACCTAAGGAGAAGAAGAGAGCATTGAGGTTTTCGTGAAACCAAACAAAAGTCGAGTACTCTGTAGAAATTTAGGACGATTTGGACTTTGAAGTCCAGAGTCTAGCGTTACTGAAATGGTTGGCCCAAGAACATTTCCATACGACTCATTTAAGGGATGGAGGTTATATTTAAGTATAAATATAAATATGTTACAAAAATAAGACTCATTAATAAAATTTCTTAGCTAAGGTAACACTTTAAATAATTGTGTTACATAATACTTAGTCATATGCAACACTTTTTTATAATGTGTTACATAATCATATAGTTCAGAGGTTTATGTAACATTTATTTGTAAGTGTTGCATAATTCAAATTTCGAATGTTATATGTAACAATAAAATAAGTGTTGCAAAGAAATTGTTACAAAAGGTCCATTTTGGTGTAGTGACTCTCACTTGTAGACAAGCGCACTAACAACTTGTGACTAGTCACTTTTCAGATTATGATTTTTTTAATTTTATACTATAATGAGTATATTATACCAATTGAAGTTATAATCATATAACTTAAATTTACCTCTATCATATTGATTATTGACAACTTTGAATTGAGTGGGAAATAAGAAAGATAAATCCTCTGAGATTGAAGGTTGTGCAAAGTAGTGATAAATACACTGAACCTCAAACTCACTACTTTAAAACAAAAGTGACAAAAGTTTTGGATTAAATAAAAAATGAACGTTGAAAATTCAGGAAGAAGTAATATTTTTATTCATAGATTTATTATAATAATATTTGACAATCAACCACAATATTATTCCAAGAATTTCAATACAAAAAGTTGACTTATTATCATTTTAGACACAAAAATGACTTAAAACCATCTCTAACTTAAATCTACCCAACATCACCATCTTTAATGCTGATGAGTCACTGAAAAGAGTTTGTGAACACTGCGCCGCCACTAGTTAATTTAGACGTGTGGGGTGGTCACTTGGAGGTTAGGAGTTGCTATCCATTTTAGAATATTCAAAACCAACAAAAACACCTTCAATTTTTCTTTTAATAATATTCATACTAATTTCTCTTATTTTAAATTTAATTTGTAATTTAATTGGTGGATAATAAAGCGAAGCTAAATGGCACCATGTTGTGATTTTCAATTTTCAATTATCAATTTGATATTATTCTTGTGAATGTATGCTTCAAATTTGTTACGGAGTATAACACATACAAAAAGTCCAGATTGTGTATGACGTAAATTGTGTATGACATAAATAATGTACGTAGTGTGGTCCACTTTTTACCAATTCAAAATAAATTTTAAGTATATTTGACTTTAAGTTACATGAGCGATTTCGTTCAATACTTCAAATGAAACTAATATAGTTAAAGATTTGATGTATATATCATGTATGAAGTATATTATAACTTGTTTTATACGACTTTAGTCGATGAGACCCTTTGCCCTACCCTTGAACTCTATAGCTCCATATTCAACCGGCGTAAGATTACAATTTCTTATATACCAGAAAAAAATTGACTATTAAGTTGTTTTTGCTTTGTCCCTTTGTCATAACATTTAAGTAATCAGTAGTTATATGCTATTTTTAAAATTTGAGAATATAATCAATATTCTTATCAAATTTTACTCATTTTAAATTTAGATAGTTCAGATTTTCGAGAAGTCGTAAATTTTTATTCGTAATGAGTTACGGGATTCATAATGTATCAATAAAAAGAATTTCATAGCACTATACTCTTAAACTTTTATGGAGGTCGGCTAACTATCTTGACCTCTGGCTCCGCCCCCGTGACTTTGAGGATTTTTTTAGAATAGGCCAAAGTATTGAAACATGTTTTCTGCTTGGACGGCACACTTTAAGATTCTTATGTTTTTTCATTTATTAATCAAAAGTTTGCATGAGTTGGTATTCACCCATATTGCAAGAGCTTGTCCTCCTCTGGAAACACCTCCATACCAGGAAGAGCTTTGTGGGGAGATTTTATTTTCGAATTATTTTTACTTTAGTTGTAATTGTTTCTGTAATGGTTTGAATGTTTAGATTTTTGTAGCTTTTTTGATAGACAGGGTTTTAGTTCCGGTCATTTTAGGCCTTAATTTGCCCATTTCAGGTTTAACAAGTCATGTTGTTTTGTATGAGGTGACAGATTCTAAGTCCACTCGTAGGGTTCACAATTGAATCTGTAATTTCTGTCTGCGGGTTATCATGTATGTGTTCCTGATTTTAATATAACGACTGCTCTTTTATGATAAAAAAAATGTTAAACATTGTTTATCGCTTGGAAAATGTATTGGTAGGCCTTGTTATTTAGGATTATGATCAAAATAGCAACCCGGCCCAATAGTTGACCGGAAGTGCTACGCCAGGACACAAGCGCTGACCAGAAGGCTAAAATAGTTGACTTCATTTTTCTCTATGTCCTCGCCAAGAATAACGGCATTTCACCATTTCTTCCATGCCTTGTCTGAACCTTACACAGAACTCATCGGAAAATATGCTCACGGACAAGACCTGAGATCGGGAAAAGCATTGCACGCGCACCTCATCATCAATGGGTTGGCCCGTAAAACCCACTTTGCATCAAAGCTCATTTCTTTCTATGCAAAATGCAAACAGCTAGAAGATGCACGTAAGTTGTTCGATGGAATTCCCCAAACAAATGCCCGTCGTTGGATTGTCTTGGCCGGGGCTTATTCGCGGCAAGGAATTTATGAGGGAGTCATGTCCTTGTTTAATGAAATGCAGAAGTCGGGATTGCATCCAAATAAGTTTGTTCTTCCCAGTGTCTTGAAAGCATGTGGCCATCTCTTTGATAAAAAAACTGGGGAGAAATTGCACGTTGTCATGCTGAAATACGAGTTTGAATCCGATGCTTATGTGGTTAGTGCACTAATTGATATGTATTCGAAATGTGGGCACGTGGAAAAGGCCAAAAGTATATTCAATAGAATGGTAAAAAAAGATTTAGTGGCACTAAATGCTATGGTTTCTGGTCTTGTGCAGCATAGGCATGAAGGAAATGCTCTTGTTTTGATTGATAAAATGAAATCAATAGGTTTAAAGCCTAATCTGGTGACATATAATACATTGATTGCAGGGTTTTCTCAAGCAGACGATAGAAATATGGTGTCCAAACTCTTCAGCATGATGCACGATGCGGGCATACAACCCGATGTAGTATCTTGGACTTCTGTGGTTTCTGGGCTTGTCCAGAATTTCCATAACCGTGAAGCCTTTCGTATCTTCAAGCACATGTTGAATGTTGGGTTGCATCCAAGCTCAGCCACGATTAGTACTTTATTGCCTGCTTGTGCTAATTTGGCAAATATACTTCATGGGAAGGAGATCCATGGATATGCAGTAGTGATGGGAACTGAAAAGGATGTGTATGTAAGGAGTGCCCTCATAGATATGTATACTAAATGTGGGCTCATTCACGAAGCGAGGACAATATTCCATAACATGTCCATGAAAAACACAGTTACTTGGAATTCAATGATTTTCGGCTATGCAAATCATGGATTTTGCAAAGAAGCTATAGACCTTTTTGAAAAAATGGTAAGAGAGGAAGAGAAAAAAATGGACCACTTGACTTTCACAGCAGCTCTCACTGCTTGCAGCCATGGTGGGATGGTTCTGTATGGAGAAAGGGTTTTCAGGAAGATGGTGGAAGAACATGGAATCGAACCAAGGTTAGAGCATTATGCAAGTATGGTCGATCTGCTGGGAAGAGCCGGGAAGATCGAGAAGGCGTATGATTTTATTCAAAGTATGCCGATCGACCCGGATTTTTTCGTGTGGGGAGCTTTATTAGGGGCATGCAGACAGTATGGGAATGTGGATATTGCAGAGGTGGCGGCTAAAGAATTGTCTAAGTTAGAACCTGATAGTGCTGGAAGCGGTGTGCTGCTTTCTAGCCTATATGCAGATGTGAATAGGTGGGGAAATGTTGCTAAGATGAAAATATCCATAAAGAAAAAGAAGTTGAAAAAGTTTCCTGGATGTAGTTGGGTAGAAGTTGCATAAGCTGCAACAATTATACCTTTTTTAATTTTCTCATGTGGTCGATTCAATTGTAATGCAGTTGACAATATTCCATTTGGAAAAAAGAAAATGCCACAAATCTTACTGCAGAAAAATAATTTGTTTAACCAATTTCTAGGGTTGAACAAGGTAACCCTAATCCCAAAGCGACTTTACAAACCGATCGAAACTAAACTCATCAAAGCTGAACTTATCGAAACCAAAAAAGGCGGAAACCAGCCAACTAATCGACGGTTTTAGCATTAAAACGATCAAACCTAGCAGAACTTATTAAAATTGGTCAGAATATGCTAAAATCGGCCGAAACTGAATTGGCTAAATACAAAACTGCAAACGAATCGACGAAAGCCCCTACTGCATTCTCTATGATTGGAATATTCAATTGCATACGGATTTTTTACCTCTACTTGACCTCTTCTATAGCACAATTTCCCAGAATAAGAATGAATTGAATGAGGTGTGGTCTCCAACTCACGAATAGAACCATTTATACATTTTTCCTGAGTATGATTACTAAAGTTCTTTTTACACTGGTCTTGTGATCCTACACTTTGCCCTTATTGAATTTTATAAAGCACTCTTTATAAAAGAATTAAACTATAAGCCCTTTATTCCCTCCCTCATGTCTCACAGATGCTGCCATCGTTGGAAGCTTTACTCTAATGAGAAGCAACGACCACTGAGGAGGGTTGAAAGGGAAAGCAGCCAGAATTAGTCAACTTTCTGCACGTAATCTCCTACATTGTGCTGTACCATGTTGCACACGAAATTTACATGTTTGTGATCACTACCACTGGTTACTACAAAATGAGCCCATTTGATAACTTTATTTTAGTTCATCAATTTTATCAGCCAATTTTTTTAGAATAACTTTTGATTTTACACATTGAATTGTACGATAATACAAATAAATAAAGTTACGGTTATTGTTCTGGCTGAACTAGGTGGAATTGTTGTAAAAGACTATTTTTCTCTATTTTCCATATAGTTTTTCTTTATTTCACTAATTAAATACTCCATACATTTAGGTATATTTTTGCATACTTCAACTAGAATTTCACAAATGTCAATAAATTTAGTTTTATCAAATGGGCTCGATAATTACACAAATGATAGATGCACGCCTTTTTCACAAAAACTGAATGACTTTTCATTAATCCTCAAAAAAGGTTGAATCCCTAACGCCAACTCGCCAAGAGCCCCCATGCACCAACCCGACAAGTCATTTGGGTGCAGGGGCGTAGCTAGGGGGTGGCCAGCCTAGGCCCTGACTCACCCAAATTTAAAAAATGTTTATATTTATAGTGTAAACATTTCTATGTATTTTCTTAAAAAATATTTTTTGTACCAACCCAGTCTGGCTCGATGCCCTGGCTCCGCCCCTGTTTGGGTGCTTTGAGACTTTGTACCCATGCGTACCAGAGGTTCAGTCTAGCACATGCACAGGAGTTGTAACCTCCATAATGTCGTTGTGAGTTTTGATCGTGAATCCTCCAACTTTCCCACCACTCCATCGTTTGATCGAATTTTCTTTAAAACCAAGTAAGAAATCGTGTATAATTAAGCCCTTAGTTTTTTTTTTTTTTTGGAAAATAGAATAATACGAGTATTAGAAATATGAAGGCAAGAAATGGAATGAGTGTCTTGATATCTACTCAAAATTGTGATGACCAATTTTGTGAGCCGGATTATGGGTGTTACCAGGTAATTACAGTAATGGTTGTCCCCTAAGCAACAAAAACAGTATAAAGATGCCAGTTAGCATATTAACGATGGAATAATAATGTCCCCCGACGAAAGCAACAATAATTATAGGATAATGCGATTAGGAGGAGTGGCTGGCTGTAAACACGTGCATCTTAATCGACCTGCTTATCTGTTGCCCAAACAAGACACTGCGGGGATCCTTTGGGTCTTGAGATCACTGTACAAAGGCGAAGGGCAAAATCTGAGATGGGCCCGCATTTCTTTGGAAGAGTCTAGTTGATACAGAAGCATTCAATTCATGAAGATCCCTAACACTCGTTTGACAATTTATCGGATAAAAAATGATGAAGTGACAATTTATGTCTGTACTCACTCTTATATCTACTTTTGTACCCATCTATGTTTATGAAGTGTTTTTTTGTCTGTGAACCCCGACTCACAGACAATATTTTACACAAACAAAATATTATCTATGAACTGGGTTCACAGGAAAAAAAATTCTACAAACATGGCGGGTATAAGATGGGTATAAGAGTGAATGAATTAAGCATTGTTGTTATTGGATGTTTAGCAAATAGCAACTCATTGGATATTTGGATGAACTTTCATATTTATTCTTTCAAGTACTTTAACAAATCTATTCTACTACATTAATTTACTTCAACACCAATTCCTCTTCATGCCCTAATGTAGTGGAACGGATGAAGCATCTGTTTGCAAATTTCAAACACTTAAGAAACAATGTGTCATAAGGACCGAACTCGTTAATAAGAATCATTTGAATATCCACAGACAAAATACTTTAAAATTGTTATACTCGTCTAGTACAAATAAAACTTGCACAATTACGAGCCCGTTTGGTAACACTGAAATCGACTGAATCGGCTGTTGTTGTTTATTTTTATGAAGTTCTGGCTGAAGTGGTTGTATTGGCTAATTCTGCTGATTTCTGAAAAAATTATATATAAATTATATTTCATTAATAAAACAAAATAAAAATTATATAAAAAATAGATAAAATGATCTTCTACAGTAATTTCAGCCAATACAGTCAGAAAAGTAACTTCAATCTTTCCTTTTCTTATTATTACATAATTTAGCGCGCGAAATCAAAAGTTACATAAAAAGTTGGCTGATAAGCCTGATAAGTTGAAAAATAGGCTTACTAAACAGGCTCTACATAGGTATATATCCTAATCCATTCTTGATTGTATAAAGGTAAGTCCCGAGCTTTTTTAGCTGAGACTTCATGAACATACACATAATTTCTTTATTCAGGCATATGAATAAATTGAGAGATTTGTCTAAATAGGACTAAAACAAGGTAGAATTGTAAAAATAAGACGGGAATTTTTCACAAATAGACCAAAATGGAAAAATTATATCACTTTTGTTGCTTCCCATTTTTTCTTTCAAAAGCAGACTACGAAAAAAATTCCTTTCAAATATAGACCTTGACTCCTAAGAAGCTGTTCCGTTCGTCTTAATCTTATTAATTATTCCTTAATCTTATTTTATTCAGATCAGATCAGATCAGATCAGATCAGATCAGATCAGATCAGGAAGATTCAGATCAGATCAGATCAGATCAGAAACATTCAGATCAGATCAGAAAGATTAAGATCAGATCAGCAACATTCAGATCAGATCAGAAAGATTCAGACCAGATCAGACCAGATCAGAAACATTCAGATCAGATCAGAAACATTCAGATCAGATCAGATCAAAAAATTCAAACATGATTTATCACTTTTATTATTATATTAATTATGATTATTATATTATAGTTATTGTTAATAATATTAATATATTAATATAATAATATTATTAATAATAATATAATAATAATGTTAATAATATATAATATAATATAATATAATATAATATAATATAATATAATATAATATAATATAATATAATATAATATAATATAATATAATATAATATAATATAATATAATATAATATAATATAATATAATATAATATAATATAATATAATATAATATAATATAATATAATATAATATAATATAATATAATATAATATAATATAATATAATATAATATAATATAATATAATATAATATAATATAATATAATATAATATAATATAATATAATATAATATAATATAATATATTTATAATTATAATTATTATTATGATTTACAATGTAATTATAATTATAATCATCATTATTATTAATATGATTGTTGTTCTTGTTGTTATTTTTGTAATTATTATTACTTCGGAGTAATTATATATTTAACTTAGTAATTATAGATATAATTATGATTATAGAGATAATAATTATAATTATAATTACAAAAAAAAATAATTATAAAATTAATCATAATTAAAAATATAATTACATTTATAATTGTATCTGTATTTATAATTAGTGTAATTGGTATAATTATTATAATTTTAAATTTAATTTTAATTATTATTTTTTTATAATTATGATTATAATTGTAATTTTATTTAAGTTATATTTTTAATTACAATTATAAATCTAATATTTTTAATTATAATTACAATTATAGAAATATTCAAATCAGATCAGAAAGATTCAGATCAGAAGAATTCAGATCAGATCAGAAACATTCAGATCAGATCAGAAACATTCAGATCAGATCAGATCAGATCAGCAACATTCAGATCAGTTCAGCAACGTTCAGATCAGATCAGAAAGATTCAGATCAGATCAGAAAGATTCAGATCAGATCAGATCAGATCAGATCAGAAAAATTCAGATCAGATCAGATCAGATCAGATCAGAAAAATTCAGATCAGATCAGATCAGAATTTAAAAAATTCAGATCAGAAACATTCAGATCAGGTGAACGGAACAGCTTCTAAGCCGCCTAAACCTACGTGTTTAGTTACGAAATGAATAGAGACGTTATCAACTACTCAACTTCTTGCTCCGTATTCTATAATAATTACACTTTTTCTGTATTCTATAATTACACTTGCGAATTTCAAAAACTTAAAAAAAAAACAAGAGAACAAAAATGAAAACTTAAAAGGTAAAAAAGTTAATAAAATACAGTAAATGTGTACAAAAACTATAAAAGTGTACAAGAATAAATAATTATTCAATTTTAAAATATGAAAACTAATAGGAAAAATAAAAAAGTACAAATAGGTTAAATTTTATAAATTGAAAAAAAAACTAACATATATAAACGGAATTGTAAAATAAAATAAAAATGTTGTGAAACTACTTAAAAATATGAAAAGTAATTATAAATCTTTACAAAAGACCAATTTTTTTTTAAAAATCAGTATACATACAAGTAAAATCATCCAAAAATCAAATAAATATAAAAATTTGAAAACATTGAACAATTAAATAAATTTATATACAATTTGAAAACATTAAAACAATTCATATAAATATAGAAAATTGAAAACATTCAGAAAATGAAATCAAAGTTTGTATAAGTACAAGAAAATTTGAAACTAAGGATATTAAAATTTATATTTAAAAGTGGAGCTTAAAATTTATAAAAATAAAAAAGTTCAAATAAACTTAAAAGCGAGTAAAGAAAAAAGATAATAAAAAGGTTAAAAGGGAAAATATAAAACATAAGTATTCAAAAAAATGTGAAAAAGTTAAAATAAGTATAACATAGAAAATTTGTAAAAATGAAGGAATTTTTAAACAAATAAATAATACTACATATGAATTTTGCAATTTGTTATTATTTTAGTTAAAAAAATTAATTGTTATTTATAAAGTTACAAAAAATCACAAGAGCGGATTGTTGCTATTTTTTGTTGCTTGTTATCTCATTGTGTTTCTTTTTGTTGATAAATTTGCAAACTTTGTTTTTAATTGTTTAATTATGTTTCTTGTTATTGATTTCTTTTTTTCATAAATTTAAGTTTATCATTTTGGTTTGTGTGTTTGTACACACAGGCATACACGCATGCACATATGTTTTGCATTTTTCAATAAAAATAAAGATTACACAATAAAAATAAAAACAAGAAATGAAAATGATCAACAATTAAAAACAACATGCAACAAAAAG